TAGATCGCATTAAGTGGAGGAATTGTTTTGGAAGAGACTGTGGACCTGTCGTCTTGACAGATTACTGATGATGATGATGATGATTATTGTTATTGTGATTTGTCTGTAATTGGCCTTGTGGCTGTTGGCTCAGCACATAAATAATAGAGAACTGAATTTAATTATCATTACTATTACTATCAGCAGCAGCAGGAGTAGTAGTAGCAGCATCAGCAGCAGCAATGATGTCATCATCTGCATTTCTGCACTGATATTTGGATGGCAGTGCTTTCATAGACATTTGTTTATTTATTAATTAAAGACTGGGTAACCCAGAACTTAGTATATTAATATTAGCATTCCACTTTTTAGCCACCAGAATGTTGCGTTTTCTTTCATTCTATCTGGTTTCTTGTGCATGATATACAAGGATTCTGGTGCAATAAGTGCAAAGGAATAAAATATACTCTTTCTTCCTTAACAAAACCATGTAAATTTTATGCTGTATAACATCTCTGGCACTGCAAATAACAATACAGATAGAAGATTAATACTGACTGCTTTTTCATTCAGTACACCCATATAGTTTTTATTTTCTACCTATGAGTGTGTAGTTCTAAGAGAGAGTAATGTTTCTTTATTATAAGGAATGTATTAATCCTAGCCTTTATTAATTTATTTATAATTCCTTTTGCAAATTTCGCTCTGAAGTGTACATTTTGTAGCACCACGTTTAAACCTTATTTTCTTTCCAGACACTAGTCTTCTGCTTTCTCCCAAGGAAACTAATATTGTTGCTCATAAGGATGAAAAAGCAGTGTTACCATGCTTATCAACTAGTAGTAGCGTCAATATAACACTATTCACGGGCGTATATTACTGGTCAATGAAAAGGGTAAGTGCTACAATATTGTATTTTCAGAAGTGAACACATTTTGAGCCAAAGAGAGCAGTGGTGAAATACAAATATTGAATTGCGTTTTTTGGTTTTGTAGGTTGCATTGGTTGAACAAACTGAACCAAATAAATAAAGATGATATAAAATAATGCATTTTATGGAACTGTTAGTGATGTAAGGAACAAAATGAAGGAATGTCTGAAAGACAAAGTTGATGAGCTTAACACAAGGATACTAGTGATCAGTATGTTAAAGGATGAGAATGGTTATCTGCATACAGATTCATACAGCATTCTCAGTAGGTGGAAAAGTACCACAGAATGTAAAAATGTAATAATGTAAAATGTAATAAAATTCAACAGACTAAGATGCATAATAGGGCCAGTGGTACCTGATCCTATTTTTAGTGAGACTGATATTTCTGCTGGAAATTTAGGAAGGCATATATACCCATGTGCCAACTTTAGCAGATAGAGGGTGTTGCATGGTCAGCGCAATGAATTCACACGGCTGTTAATTTCAGTTTTCTAGACTGGAGCCGATACTTTTCCATTCAAGTAGCTCCTCAATTGTCCTCACGAGGCTGAGTGGACCCCACTCTAGACCCACTGCTTCTCAAAAGATTTGGTAGCGCCGGGAATCGAACCCTGACTTATGGATCTGTAGCCGACAAGTGGCGGTCATTCGGTCGGTATAGTTCGCTTGTGGACTAAAACCACGGAGTTTGTCTTTTTTGTTTTTATATACCCACGTACTGTTCAGAGTTCAGCATAATGTTTGAAACAGGAAGTAAAACTTTACGTTCAGGGATACACTAGCTTATACAGTATACTGTGTAAGGAAGAGTTGCTATAGCAGTAGAGGAACTCTGTTCTTGAACCTACTGTGACATGACAGTTGGAAACCAGAATAGAGAACTAGAAGAGGTGGCCGTTACAAGGCAGGGACATGGTAAACACGTTTCTGCAGCAAACAGATGCTCATGCAATGATAGATACAGTGTTTTGGTATTGTTAGGCAAGGGCACGGTGTACAGATTTCCACAGAAAGGAACCAACACACAACCAGTGTTTTATGTGCGGTCCGCACTGAGGCGATACAACAAGAACCAGCAGCAGAACATAAATTAAGGCATAACCTGCTGCACAAGCCTGCATTAACAGCAAACCTCTGTATGCCTTGTATAATATTACTTAGTATAGTGCGGTGACTTGGATGGTGTGATAGTGCAGATATGCTCATGCTGAAACTATTGTGAAGGAAACATAATGCCTACACACTAAGACTTACCCCTCCTTATGTGCGGTCCGCACTGAGGCGATACAACAAGAACCAGCAGCAGAACATAAATTAAGGCATAACCTGCTGCACAAGCCTGCATTAACAGCAAACCTCTGTATGCCTTGTATAATATTACTTAGTATAGTGCGGTGACTTGGATGGTGTGATAGTGCAGATATGCTCATGCTGAAACTATTGTGAAGGAAACATAATGCCTAGACACTAAGACTTACCCCTCCTTAATCGAAGAGGAGGCCACATTTCCAAACATGTGCATGTCTAGGAGAGAATAAAAATGTTGGTCATGTATCTTGAAGAGACTGAAGCCATGAATGACTGTGCTGTCGAAGGCCAGCAGCAACAGAGTAGCTCTAAAGGCTCCCAGAGCTGCCAGAGAGTAAAATATGGTAATGATCCCCATGGATCTTGGAACTAAGAATCGCTATTCTGGTGAGGATCAGGAGCAACTAACAGTCAGTCAGTTGGTCAGTCAACGAGACAGTTATTCAGGGGGTTGCATAACAGAGTCATGAGACAATAGAATATGGTCGTGAGTCTCGTAGAAATTTACTCAACCAACCAGTCACTCAGACGGATTCTGTGAGCTTGTGTGTTTGCGTGTGTGCCTGAGTCAATTCCATTAGAATGGGATTAACCAGTAGTACTCATACACCTCCTCTTGTTGAAGAGGAGGCACCATTTAAGAGCATAGGTTCATGTGTCCCGACGGGACCCAAAACCGAATATTGAATATGCTGGCGAAGGCTGGCAACAGCGTCAGTTCATGAGTTGCAATCAAGCAGTGACAGTACATGGTTGGCCGTAATGTATCTCCATTGTTAGCAACTGCTATCTAGCAGAAACTAGTTGCAACAGAATAACAAGCAGAAGATAAAGTGTGCACCGTAGTTATACCAATTATAGGGTGTATAAATTAGTCAGGCGGTTATAATCATTTTAGGTACGAGTTTTATGCGTTCAACAGATCCAGTTATCAGTGCAAACCCAGTGCATAGTCATGAACCAGTGACAGCCTGTTTCAGAAGTGGGATTAGATTGATTTAATTATTGGATTGAAGACTGCATTGAATAGTTATATCGCCTTGTTACAAAAAACAGAGCAAATGCTAGAATGCTTGCTGGTTGAAATGAGAGGAATTCCAGAGATGTTGAAAGCCAGCCCAAAGAAGACGGTCTATAAAAAATAGAGGCCATGGCGGAGCAGTATAAATGGGTACCATGTGTGAAAGATACAAACCTTCTTATAGGCTTGCAGGGCCAGCTTTTTGATATTCTACACAGAGTCCCTAAAAGGATGAGGTACGAGGAGGCCCTCGAGGTACTTGAGGACCGATTTGGGGACCAGCCACAGAGTACCACTCTCAGCTGAAAACAAACCCTTTTGCATTACAGAAGGACCACGTTCATAGGGCAGCATGCAAGTCTTTCATCGACGGGATAAGAGACAGTGACAGGAAATGCAACCTACTTCAGGGGAAACTGAAAACATCAAACAAAACCCTCAGACAGACCTCAGAGCTAGCAGACATGTGTCTGGTGAGATTCCGGAATAGAATGCCACTACGCCCAACCAAAAGAAGAAACTACTGCCAGCGTATATGCTGGTGCTATGGGAGCACGTGCCACTTTCGAAAGCACTACCTCTACAAATACAATGAAGTAGAAGATGACTGACGTTGGGTACAGGATGACACGGTCGGAAAACGAGAGGGTACCAGCAAGAAGAGACAACAAACACGGACGGTATGCAGCAACAGCGCATATATACAATATTGGTCCTTGGAGAATGTGGTCCCCTGGGCATCCTAACCCTCTGTATATGTATTCCCTGAGGACCAAGTACAGCAAGACAGAACGAGATGTCTGCCTTCACTGTGGTGCATCGGTCTTAGGATGAAATGCAAACACGGATATCCCCAAAAACACTCCAAAAAAGAAAATCAACTGAGACCGGAGAAGCGAATAGAAGAAACGAAGGAGAAGGCGACGGTTTCGTCACTCATGCCTCCTCATTACGCACTTAATGTGTTGGAAAATCATGGCCATGACAGTACACACATTGATGGACAAGTAGTAACTAAATATCTTCCTGGACCTATGTACCCACAAGAGGCAGTTCATCTCTGGCTTTGCTGACATTTTGAAACCACTGACCAGAGTCTCAGAAGGGAAACAGGCTTTTCAGTAGTCCCCAAAATATATGTCGCTTTCCAGTCTCTGAAAGAGACCCTATGTACTGCTCCCATTCTTTGGTATGCTGAAAAATGAGGGAACCTCATAGTAGACACAGACGTGAGTAACGTTGGAAATGGAAGAGTACTGTTGCAGGTACAGGATGACCAGGAGCGGGTAATAGCCTACTGAAGTATGACAATGAGCCGTGCAGAAAGAAATTTACTGCGTTGCCCATAGGGAACTGCTGGCCATCTTGAGGACAGTGGAACACTTTAATAAGTACCTATATGGTCAAGAATTCCACTGGTGCACTGACCACTCCACATTGACATGACTCACAAGTTTGAAGAAACTAGAGTAGCAAAGAGTCTGCTGGATCCAGGGACTTCAAGAATGCAAGTTCACTTCCAAGCACCACCAGGGTCGGAAGCAAAACTATGCCAATGCTCTTCCCAAAGACCATGGTGCAAAGAGTGCACTCACTGCCAAGAAGTCGAATCACTGGCAGATGTCAAGCAAATGCGAGCTATTGCGGTCACAGCCGCAGATTGCTGGGACCAGACCTCCATAATGAGGAATCAGCTAAACGACCCATACATAAGACCGATTCTAGAAGAAGTAGACACTGGACACCATCCAAAATGGACAGTCATTGCTGACCGCAGCCCAACATACAAGGGCTATTCGGCCCAATTGAAGTCCCTTGCAGTAACGGATGGTCGACTGCCACTGGGAGTCTGCCGAAGGAGAATGTAACATACCTCACATAGTCCTCCCTGTGAGGAAAGTGAAAGACGTACTGGCTAAACTCCATTTTGGACCATCAGGAGGACAGTAGCAAGCAGCGGCAGTTTGTGTTTTGCGGTGAGGAATTGCCATTGTTAGAAGCAGCTTTGTAGCAACGACTAATAGTGACAGAATAACAAACAGAACTTTTTGTGCCGTAGTTTTAGTAATTTATGTAGTGTGTAAATTAGTGTGGCTGTAATAATAATTTGTAGTTACGAGTCATAAGCGTTCAATAAATCCTTTTATTAACCCAACCCATGTCCAGTCACTAACAGATGACACTATTTACAGAAACTGCTCAGATTTCATTCTTCTTAACTTCATATAAAACCGTTCCCAGCATTTTAAAGCGCTAATTACATATGCAAATAAAATTATTGGGGATGATCAGTGAAGATTCTGTTGCCAGAGATAAGCGACTAATCAGACATGATATTTCAAGTTACCGTGGTAGTGAGTATCATGATTATGGATTTCTGGTGGGTGATGCCATGTAGATTGGTAAATGATACCAATGTTTGATGGGCATACATTTCTGTGGTAACCTAAAAATGGAGTCAACAAGATCCTCCTAAACTTTGGTACCCATCTACCACACTACAAACTATCACAACCAAGAAAGCTGTAATCTTGAAACATATTTGAAGCACATGGCAGTGAGCAGTTATTGATTCCCCTTCCTGCTGTCTGGAAGGGGTTGTGCAATGCCAATGGAGATCCTCTTACATGGTGCTCCAACATCCTATTGGTGCATCGGGATTGTACTCCAATTTGGGGGCCTCCATCTGCTGAGCAGGTGTCACATAGTTGACACCATCTCTCTACGTTCTTCCTCTATGCCGTCACTACTGCTTTCTGACTTTGTTCAAGGTTTTGTTGATGAACAGATGCCCTCCTGAATATCCTCCATGGAGCTCTCCCAATAATTCCTTCAAATTTCTCTGTGTGTCTGGGCTGTCTTCGACCGTCCATCGGCTGATTCTCAGTGGTTCTCCAACATGCTGTTTCACTACTAGTGAGTTCTACTTAGTCCACTAGTTAATCTGGGGAGAATTGCGGTCACAGATATCCTTTTTTTTTTCGGTACACTGTCCAGCTTTCATTTCTTTCACAATTTGCCTCACCTCATCATAATATCCAGCTGCTCCCTCCTCAGGACTACAGGGCCCCAGTCATTCACGGCGTCAGCCAAGATAACTTGTACCTTCACGCTGCCCGGCTGGTGTTCGATTTCTCCACAGTGAGTGCATGCTTCTATGCAGTGTCTTTTAAGGAGCGCTGGTGTGCTTGTCACCTTGTCAATGTTTTGATATAAGCTTGTAACCTTAAAGATTTAGGAACTAGTGGGCCATCTGTTTTTCTGTATTCTTGAAATTAAGGAGTAAGATCAGCACACAGTGATCAATGCACAGGTCAAATACTTGTCCGTAGAATTATTTTTGGAGATGACCCAACCTCTTCACAATACCCAGAAACGCCCTTTGTATGAGGCAGTCTCGGTCTTGTGTAGGATCATGCTGCAGTTAGTTGCTACATGCCCCTGGCCATCCTGCTCTTGTGCTTGTTTATCTTCCTACTACAAGAAAACATCCTTGTTGCCTGAACCAGATTTTGCATCAGTTTTAAAAAGTACGATTTTTGTTACAAGAATCTGAAATAGTTACAGGTGGCAGAATTTGTGATATGTGCCATTGGACACCATTTTCATGGTGTGCTAGGAGTTGTGATGCATCAATGAATTCAGTGTCTCAACATGTCTATCAAGGTTATGGCAGAATTAGGGTAGTGCCATCCTAACAGTTCATTCAGGCAGGGAAGAAATGCTATTTGTTGGTTCTGGTTTTATTGATGTCCAGAAATGGTTTCCCTTTTGTGTCACTGAAGTTGTGGCTGTGGAAAATAAATAAATAAAACAGGCTTTTTATTACAGTGAGGTTAATCTGAATGTAATAAAAAGCTTGTTACAAATATTAATTCATTGAAAATTAGTGTAGTAGTTGCATGGATGGAATGAAGGGATTGAAATTTGTAGGAATGTGATATTCTTTCTGGTTATTTTTTGTTACTTTTCTGATCAGGTTTACCTAGGAAAACAACCACATCGTAATCAGACTGTGACATATGACCCCAAATTGGGGTTCATTTTGGACCCTGTCACTGAAGAGGACACCAATTTCTTCAGGTGTAAAGGAACAAACAGGAGGCAGTCTTACAACTCAATGCTCCCTTACAGTGAAATGGAAATGGGATTGGGAGATTCAGAGTTAATAAAATTCACTTTGGATGTCAGTAAGTACTTCACAAACTGTAGGCGTACATGTCAGAATGTCCCCCACCTTTATTCTTGCTTTGAATATGAGTACTGCACACCCTAATTGCCTTATAATGTCTTATAATTAATTTACTGATTTTGTTCTTTTGAAGTTAGTATGGACTATGCCTTCCACTTTATTTTTTCAGTCTTGTTGTAAGAAAGTATTATGATAAATAATCATCTTGGAACCACGATTCTTCAGTCATGTTCTTGACTCTATTAATGTTATTTAATTTATTATTATACTTTCTCTAAGTAAGAAGTATAGCAAGTTTTACTAGCCTAGACCACTTATTTATGTAGTCTTTTCAGTGTATTCTGCAAATCATTTCACAGATTCTGTTGAAATTCAGTGTAAAATTTGTGCGATTCTTATTATTATCCATATTGATTGTTAATGAAACCTAGTTTACCTATGGCTGTAAATGGAAATTTTTATCCTGTGAGCTCTTCTGTGTGTTTTGTTGAGGTTCAGTGTTGGGGAGTTCCACTGACTTGCATTACATTGTTCATATTTTTAAGTATTACAACCGTACACGGGCGTCACTTCTTACAACCGCTGTTCACCACTTCTCGTGACGGTCCCCTATCTATCTTTATATTTATTTATTTATTTATTTATTTGTTTGCCCGCTTCGGTAGAACACTTTTGACTCTTCTCAGGGTTGTGCCACGGTAATAACTGGGGCAACGCGGAGACTGCACATTTAAAACTAGTCCACTGATACAAATAAATACTCTATTTTCTGCTTAATCACAATATTGTTTATTTCAGAATCAAACTATAACTTTATCGGCAAGTGCGGAGTAATGTGCCAAAGATTAATCGAGCCAAACAAATACTGTTAAATTTAGATAAACTTGGAGAGAGCAGGTAAATGACGTCTGCCTCTGGTGAATTCTAAGTGCCAAGTCGGATACGTCTGTCTCTGATGAATTCTGAACACCAAGTCTCCTGCTTCTATCTCCGGGAGCGTCACTTCTTACCGTATAGGATTTGAACCGACGGCCTTTCTCCCAGACAAGAATAGTCTCTAATGGCTGATTTTAACTGCCAATTCATCATACCATCAGTACAAGACAATTACATTACTAACTTTTAGAATAAAGAGATCCAAAGATATTGAATCCCGAAACCCTACATGTGAAAGCAGTTATTTCTTAGTTTAGGGTCTAACTACACCCTTTCGAAGACACTTTAATAACAGCTACCCCATTAGCAAAACAACATTTACATGTTCTGCAACTACAGACATGTCCTTTCATAATTGCCTCGACCCTCTAGCGGTCACCCAAGGTCCAGGTAACAAAATAAGTTGTTCCTGTCTAAATGCGAAATGCGTGTCAACTTCTTGATGGATGGGTCTCCCTAATAAATCAGTCACTCTATTGAAATGGCTGAAAAGGAACATTCGTCCATTAAAGAGTATTAAAAGGTTTGGACGGTTACAGTATGCTTAGTAAACTTCAAAGAATGCCATTGGCAATTTTCTGTACTACATTATGGAGTACACCCTTTCCAGTCTTGTTGTTTTAGACTAATTCAGAGGATACTTGCTACCATTGAATTCAGATTTTTCTGCTTTTATCTGCTGTCTAAAAAAGTAAAAGTGGAAATATAAAAAACGGTAAACTTTCCTATAGTTTTTTATGGATGTTAAACATGGTCTCTAACTGTGAGGGAAGAGCATAGACTCAGAGAACTTTAAAACAACATGATGAGAAGAATATTCTGACCTAACAGAGTAAGTGACAGGAGGCTGAAGATAGTCACAGAATGAGGAGGTTCATAATTTGATCTCTTCACCAAATCTTATGAAAATGATTAAAACAAGGAGGTTTATTAGTGGAGCATGTGGCACACATGGAAAATAGTAGACACCAGTTTAGCTGGAAAATCTGGAGTAAAGACACATCTTATGTGTCCTAGGTGTAGATTACAGGATAAAAATAAAATTAATATTAAATAAATTGGGTGAAAGGGTGTGGGGTGGATACGTCTGTCTCAGGATGGGGACCTGTGATGCGGTTCTGTGGACATTGGATATCATAAAAGGCAGCCAACTTCTAAGTATCTTAGTGTCTGTTAGCTTCTCAAAAAGTAATTTTTAATAAATGCATCCTGTTGGCTCTATGAGCCAAAACATGCAGTGACACCGTATTCTAGATCAATAAAAGTCAGTTGTACACAATAAAGTCTGACTGAATTATTTGGTTAATTTTTGTGTTTGACAGGCATTAATAAAAAAAATTTATATTCCGAAAAAGTAATCTGCTGCTTATAGGTTGGCGATTATTGTTGTTGTTGTTGTTGTTGTTGTTGTTGTTGTTGTTGTTATCATCATCATCATCATCATCATCATCGTTATATCCTTTAGAGGGAAAATTTGTTACATAAATGCAGACGCTGACTGCTGTAGATTTGAAGTTTTTACTTCTATGAAGATTGATATTGTGGTTTTCTGTGTTTATGTAGTCTTGTACAAGGATAGTAGGGTCTCTAAGAAACATACTGCCTTCAGCTTCCTGCTGTTAGTAGTAGTAGCAACAAGGTAACCATGTCAACTTGTGAGGCAGCATCAAGATTAGCACCACTTAATGTTGGGCACTTGCACTTTTACTGAAAATATATGTAGTAATTGATCTTTGAAGAGCACGCATCTGTAATTTTGATGTAGACTGTTTGTAGAACATGAAACTACCTAGCAGCCACATGATGTCTGAACATATCATTCGGTTTGATGGTTATAAGTAATGGATTAGTGGAATTTCAGTTTAAATATTTTATGAAGATAGCCCACAAACATACGTACATATTTGTTGTGGATAATTTTCTTAATGCTGACAACAGCAAATATGGCGTTAGTGTAAAAATTTAGGATGTATCAGAAAATGTAATATAATCATAATCTGTATAAATGCAATCCATGCATAAAAATGAATTGGCAAATATTAAAAATATTAATTAATAGTTCTTTCTTGTCTCGGCATACAGGCTAAAGAATCCAAAAGAAATTAAATACCATAGGTTCTTCCCAGAGCTTCTTGCTGTATCTGCTTGCAAAATGTTCAGCTATTCCACTGCAGACATTAGTATTTCTTTAGTTGAGAGAGAATATCATTGTGCTCAGTAGAGCTATCCATCATCTGCTTGGAAAATATAAGAGAAAAATATTTCTGAGCTGTACTCATTCATGTAGCAGGATGTCATTTATGATTTTCAGATTGCTTTGAATACTCATGTATAATCTTTTTACTTTGGGAATGCCCTTTACTACTGCCCTACAGATAATTCCATCTGTATAGGGAGGTTAGTAGGAATTATAAAGAGACAGATATACTAGTAAATGATGAATATATGTCCATAATTTCTACCAGTATAAATTTTGCCCTTTACTAATATCCTTCAGATAATTTCATTAGCACAAGGGGTTTAGCAGAAGTTATAAAGAGGTAGTTATACTATTTAGTAATGAATTTATGTCCATAATTTCCACCAGGATTGACTTTAGCCAACTTAAGAGTTGTCACACAAAATTTTCTCATGGTGGTTGTTTAATAACCACTGACAATGAAGAGCCAAAATATGCAGGCTACCTATCATACTACTCAGTGATCCAGTTATTTTTAAACCAAGACAAAAAAATAGCTCCAACATGAGCATATAGGCAACGTCAAATATGTTCAAAATTTTACAGAAATTCTCAGCTCACTACAATAGCAGTAATGTGAAAATGTAATATTACTGTTTTTCCTTTGTTCTTAGCCATATATTGCTTGTGATATTTCCCAGTGAGCTTGCAGTAATATACCATGGTTTTATTTAAACTCCATGAATGACACTGACAGTATTTTTGACAAATAATCAATTTTTAGGATTCAAAAAGTCTCCATGTGTTTCAATTCCTAGCATGCAAACAAAGAAAGAAAAGGTCAAATTGATACCATGAACTCTCTCTGTTTCAAAATAAAGGAAGTGAACAAATAACAAACATACTACTATACTTGTGCTGCTTGAAGGGACATTTTGTTTTGAAGAATTTGTGGACCAGGTTACAAGTTGATGTCTTATCACACTTCACAGGCCAACATAACAACTCAAACCAAATCACAAATTCACTTAGTCATCAGATTGATACTTTTAAGTATGTACAGTGTATTCTCACACAAAAATTTTCACAATAGTTGTGTTTCCCAGCATCATGGCAACATTATATTTCAATAATATTTCCTATTATTCTGTCAGTCACAGATATTTTTAGCATTATTGTCCTATTAAACATAAACTGGGCAAGAAACAAAATGTCTTCTCAGTTTTCTTCCAGTCCTACTGCAAAAGCAATATAGTTAATACATTATTAATTTCGGTTGTTGAATTATATGAGTTTTAAACACACAGAAATATAGAAAATCTGAACCCTTGGTGCAGAAAGTTGACAGAGATTGTAATGAAGTTTGTGACTGAACTTAAAATGTCCACATAGCTGGCTGAGAAGCATGGTCAGGCTTGCATACTGTGATTGTAACATTAACGTGATAATGTAATTTCATAGATTTCCTAAGCCTGATCCAAAATTTTATTTTTCCCAAATTCAGGGTGTGGTTAGATGTATGATGAGTGGTCATACACATCCATAGATGAATCTATTCACTCACAGTTTCAATTAGTAGAAGATATTGTATACGTAATATATTTCTTTATCCTAACTAACTTTATATATAATAGGATAATATGTTGCTCTCTCTCTCTCTCTCTCTCTACCATTAGAGTTCAGTACATGGTGGTTAAGATTTATCTAAGAAATTGGTTCATACCTGTTATTAGTGAAAATCACTATCATAGAGAAATGTGAATTTTCAAAGAATGCAGTAGGAAATTGTGCGTAGTTGATCACATCACACCTTTTTTCTCTTGTAAGAAAAATCATTATAGCATGTATACATGATGTCTACTTTACAGATTATTGTAGCTTTCTTGTTATATTATGTTTTTCTCTGAGACTTTGGCCACAAAATATGATTATGTTCTTACTTCCTTCAGTGCTTATTTTCAGGATTCAGTTTGAACTTCCTTTTAAGAGAATAATCACCTTTCGTGTAGTATTTGTGTATTTGCATACAAATAATTGACTCTCTTGAGCTTTCCTAATGGCATCAAGGGTATATGACTTTCTCTTTAAGATCTTCATTAATTTAAATTGTATCAAAGACACAAATATTGATCTAGCTTTACTGAAACATGTTTTAATTAACCTCTTGTTTTGTGATAATTAACCAAACTCCACGTGACAATATTGTAAAGTACTCGTTATTTCCATTTTGTTGCTTGCTTTTTGTTTATTTAGACACAGGACATCTGCTGGCTGCTCCTAATAGCAGGACCATTATTGTTAAGGAAGGCAGTGAAGCTGTGTTGCCATGCAAACCACATACATCTGAGGCCAATGTTACATTGTACAGGGAACATTTTAACTTTGAAGTTGTGAGTACTAATTCACTACATATGGACAATTAACATTTGACTGATCATCCTACATTCTTATAATTCAGATACAAATATTATTTCATATAAAGTATGTTATGTACTGTGTCTGCCATAAATTGGAATCAACTGCAAGGACCTGGTGTAGCTCAGTGAGTATAATGTCAAGGCCATGTGTTGAATTACGAAAGTTTTATTCCCAATAGGAGAAGAGATTATTCTCTTTGTCAGTGCATTTAGACAAGTTCTGACAGACACCATGCCTCGTGGATGCTTGTAGTTCTTTTGACTGAAGTGGGCAGATCATGAAACTGACTATTTACCTCCTTCTATTCCAAATTTAAGGTGTAGATGTGTAACTTCAGTCCTTATACATGTTTATGGCATGTGCATGATTTAGCACAAGGGCAATTTTATCTTTTCTACCTTCTATCCTCTGTGGCTGCTATGGTTATTGTCAATTGCAAATCCCTGAAGAGTAAGGTATTTCAATGTGAACCTGGCACAGGTACACCACGTGTATGTGTAAATATAGTGTATATCATATTCATGTGTGTGTGGAAATGCATTTTAAATGGTTAATATATTACAAAATTTATGTAATAAGTTACTCAGTAGATGACTGTTGTTTACAGATTTTCAGAGCTATCTGGAGTATAAAAACTTTGGTAGGACAAACCAAGGAGTATAACATTATATTGTCACTTGTTGGGTGTATGTCATGCGACAAATAACTTCACGCCGTCTTGGATCAAGCGAATTTATTCCACTCGCTCTTATAGTTACACAATTTACAATTTCACAAGTACTGCCATCTGCAGTATCACAATTAATTATCCATTCACTCCGGCGACTTCACGATCCACACTGCGTCACTCCTGATCACACACTCTCTCCCCTACTGCTCAGCCAGCTTTTTATACCATTCCCTGTTGCCTGTGTCAACAGCGGTATCCCCTGTTATGTCACCACGGGGGAGGAGGGCGGAGTGTTGACTGGCCTGTTACCGTAGCAGTGACAGCACTCCGAAGCTGTTATGTCACTGCTGGTGGGGGAGGGGGTGTCCTGCATAGCGCAAATACGTCAGAATATTATATGTTGGTGGGAAATATGTTGATGGTGGCATATGGCAGCTGCACAAATTTCCCCCACTACATTTTTCTTGTGAGTTTGACTGTATGTACTAATGTTTTTAGGAAATCTTGTTTTTTGGGATTCAGGTAAATTATTTATGTATTTCCTCCATTATGGTCTGAAAAGTTATCCAGTCATCTGTTTTGTGTGATTTAACAAAATGAGATGTATCTATGTGTTTCTCTTTGCTCAATGATTTAGATATATTATTTGGTGTGACATCAAAAGGAGTCTACGTAGCCAAACCATGAAGACATCATCAATATTTTTTGGTGGTATTTAAAAGAGCTTATTTTGGTCAACTGTTCAATGTTCGCAATCATTGATGGTGACTGGAAGGCAATTACAGTTCATCTGTGTGTTCTGTGACTTTCCTGATAAAGTAATGTATCATGAAAGAACACGTTTTAAAGCCTCTTTATTTCATTTAAATGCTATTCTCTTAGTAGAGATAAGAGTGGCAGGCAACAGGGTCAAGGAATTCTCACAATTCTTCAACTGGTAGGAGGAATGACCATTCTCAGACATTAGCCCTTCGACTAATCATTTTGTCACATCATGTGAGAATTTCAAAAATGTCTCTTTTAATTTATTTTAGGATGTCCATACAGTGCTGGTTTAATTGATATCAGAAATAATATTAGAAATACAGAATCACTTAGATTATAAATTGTAAAGTTTTTAATACCGCAGCTGAAGGAGAATGTAATTAAATATTTGATTTGGATTTGTTGGATTTGAGGTTCTCACAGTGATGACTATGAAGAGTGTGACCTTCTGGATTGAGACACCATGTAATTTGCATAGAGCCTCTAGACTAGAGGAACATATCACCGTCATCCTCAGGGCTTAAAAATAAACCAAGCAAGAAACCAGTAGAAGCAGGTAGCAAATTGAGCTTTCTTATTGCTTAATTTACTCTTCAGTCCTGAAGAGTGGGGTAATATGTTTCTCCAAAATGTCAGGCTCTCTGAATTGCATGGCATTAGAACTCAGAAGGCCATGCTCTTAACAATTAAACACATTCTGAAAAGATGGCATCATATGCTGTCAGTGCTTTCAAGAGTCATTTAGAAATGTACTGTTTTTTTCTTTGTTTTATTCCTCAACATATTGTTGTGCTGATCTCTCTAGTCTCTTCCCACCTAGACAAGGATACATTTCTGATAGAGAAATTGATAGGGTGGATTCAGTTATCCCCAGTGATAGGGTAATCATGGGAATGGTGATTGACAGAGGCAACCTACACTTGAACATGGACTCTGAACCTCAGGTAGGGATTCTTTACATTCCCAACGTTCTGCCTTCAGTCAAGGAGAAGGCTTCAATTTGTGAGCAGAGAAATCTACTCCAGATCTGAAAATTCAGAACTTGCACATGGAAATGTACTATAGCGCAGCTTACAAAATATTACAGTATATCTCATGCTATAGCATGCAACTAAGTCTATACTTCACTCTATGCAGTTTTGTAGATAGGTACCAGTGTTTCAGTGGCATCCATTGCCTCCCTCTTCAGAGCAGATTGAAGAAGAAGGAAGCAAGTTCCTCCAAAACATAGGTACCTATCTACTAGACTGCATGTTGTCATATCTCAGAATACCATAATCTGGATAATCACCACTATGAAAACCTCAAATCTTAAACAAATGACAGGCCATGCAAGTGAATGAAATTATGAGATGGATGAAAGTTTATATAAAAATTTCAGTAGGGCACTGCCCAAGATGGCCAATGACCTAATATTGTTTATATTGAAATTTGTTATTCAAGTGTTCTTCTTTGGTCTTGCACATGGACATACAGCTAGTTACTGATATACTATTTTATATTTTCTGGTAGGTGAAACTGGGAAGACATCGTAAGTATGAACGGCATGGTGAGGATGATGATGATGATTATTATGATGATGATCATAATGATGATGAAGTGCGGATTTTGTCATATGATTATAAGAAAGGATTCAACTTCAGTACAGTTTATTTTTCTGATGATGCAACTTACAAGTGTGAAGCTAAGTCACAGGACCAAAAGGAAGTTATGTATTTCTATATGCATATTGGTAAGTAGCCAAATATCTAACAAGCCTACTTGAATAATAGGTTACTTAATTGTTCTTCCAATCACTCCTCAATTACCAATAACACAGTGTGATAAAATCAAACACAACATCAACAGTGGTTGTCACCCTGCATTCACGCTGGTATCCTGCTCGGCTTATTCAACCAAGAAGACAGAAGCGATATGTTCCTCTGAAACATTAGTTGACATCCATCAGACTATACAGCTTATATCCCAGAAGATAGTACTCTTCATAACCACTGCTTTGAGAACCTCAAATTCAACACAGGATAAGTTTAGTTCAGTGATGGGCTGCTACAATACAGGTATCCCTCGTTACATCAACACTCGATTTATGAATTTCCACCACAACAAAGCATATTAATTTTTGTCTTTTTTTCTCTCAATGAATTTAATTTTTGCTGAAATAAACCACTTATGTTCATAAGTTCAACAACTGTTACATGTAAAATAACGAAATTTTAAGTTTGATTTGTGAATTTCAGCCTTAAAAACAGTTTTCGTGGAACAAACTATCTTTGCAAATCAAGTGATATCTGTACTTGAAAGAGCGGTAAAAATATTGCAGGAGTATAAGATCGAACACTGGACAATTCCCTCAGATAAAAAGTATTTTTAGATAGAGATAAAGTACACCTCAGTCCACTCTACTCATCTGTACTTTAATTCCTGATGGCCTTTAGCTGGTTGGTTAGCCGCATGATGTATAATTGCCTACTTTCCTTTTGTATCACATGGACCCAACAGAAGCTGATGCCTCCAACAAATTATTTTTGACATGGGAACATGTTTACCAAGTTATTACCTAGCAATGATAGGGGGAAACACTTCACGCAGCCTTTACCTAGGGACAGTAGGAAGGACACACAGACACACAGACTGATTGGAAGGTTATATAAATACCATGTGGAGATGGGCTCAGGTGCCATTAAAGTTTGGTTCAGGCATTCAGAAGTTAATGGGGTGGGGTGATGGGGGATTCACAGATGTAATAACAACATGGAGATTGCATAAATCTACTTTCATTTTTTCAAAATAAGGAGAGTAGGTTAATAACCATGAATAATAATCAGGTATCCTTCAACAGTGTAGGTTTATAGGTGTCATTCCTGAATTATTGTTTATATTTCACAACACACTAATCAACATGTACTAGATGGCTTTCAGTGTTGTCTCATTTGACTAAAAACTGTAGATGGCATCTCCTTCTAACCAACTGATATTAGAGTGAGACCTGCACTCTTTTTGAATTCAGTTTTTCAGAATAAGTGACCAAGTATCACATTCAGCTGCTCAACATTGCCCCATTCACAATGGCCTTTTAGGGTATTTGTCTGTGTCTGATGTCTGCACTCTTCTCCTCTCTAGGCCATCTGTATCTTTTTTCAGTGATAGTTTCGGCCTCTTTCTTCTGAATATTTACTGATATGCTGATCCCACATCTTATCACAATGTTAAATTTTCTTATTCATATGAAGAGTATAAATTTTTTTTTTCAGTTTTCATCTGAGAAAAATTGCCTATATGCATTTTTGTTCTTCATTACAAATCATGCATAAATTATTTAACTATATATCTGATCAGTTGACCTGGAAATGAACTACAGCACAAGGCAGCTTGGATATTATTGTAACTGACACTGTTCAAAGTGATTCATATGCCTTTATGATTCCATGGCCAAACTTCCAGATGGTTATATTGTGAAGTCTCAGATATTTCGAAATATATTACCTAATATGGTCTGAAGTGAGGTGAACTGTATATTTGCTTCATAATACGTATTAGTGGAAATGAAATGACAGTGAAATATCTTATGGCTTCTCATTCTTCTTCGTGTTTCGGCCAACATACAACAGTGAACTCCTAGGTCAGCAGTGAATTTTGTGGGATAGATATGTTTTAAGAGCTACCCTTCGCTCTCTTACTGCCTTTAGATTTGAAGAAATGTATTTTTTTAATTACCTACAAAAACTGCAAGACTTGCAGAAAGAAGCATATAGGGCAGAGAATGTACACTTCATTTTCCTCTACAACTTTTGTTCAAAAAAATTTTATGTCTAATAATTATTTAGTGAATTATTCCCAGTATGTTTTTCAAAATGTATATAGGTACTAGCTACGCAAATAATTCTTATCTGTTTGTATTAGACATATTTATGAAGCCTACAATTGAAAAGAGAAACAATATTGTAATGAACCTCTGTTCTTCTTCACACAGAGGAGGTTCACCTTCTCCGTGGGACTCAGGTGCACCATATATATTTTTTCAAAGATGATAATGTAACATTACCATGTATGCCAAGCAACCACAATGTCAGTTTAACACTGTACCACTCAGCCACCAGAGAGGTGGGTATTAACCACTCAGCTGCCAGAGAGGTGAGTATTATTTGCCTGTTTAGCTCATCTCAGAAGGCTTCGCACTAGTGCTAACATTATAAATTATGTAAAGAAGAGACATAACTCATGATACAGAATTGGTAGTCCATTATTTTAAAACCATTCAACCTAATCATTAACTGGTTTTCAATTCATGACAGAGGGAATTCTTAAATGCACCACTGAGATGGTATTTAAAGCTTATATTTATGTGTGATGTCTGCCTCATATATAATTACATGCATTGAGTTGTGAATAGGGCAGACATGAGTTATGTACTAGGCTGATATGATACATAACATACATACCTTATGGTAAATTCACCTATTTTACTGTTAGCTATGCAATTAAGTGAACTTTCCAAATTTGTTTTTTAACTCATTCACTGCTTCTTTAACATGTTAGTGCAGAACAGCTGTGCCCCTGTTCTTATTGCACTTGTATACATTTTTTAGGCATCATTCACTTGTTACTTGTCAGCTGTGTTACTGTTTTGTTCTATCTACACTTTTTTGAGTTGTCATCCACTAGTTAAAGGATGCTTCTGACATCTGAAGTAATTTGTTATACAGAATTTGTAAGTATGTTTGTTATCCATCTCCATGAAAATTCCATGTGCCTACCTTCACAATTCACTGATTAATGCCATCAAACCTACTGCTAAATATAAATTTTGTATGGCTGTCATTGCCAGCAGCAGGATATTGGAAGACCCACAAGTAAACTGTTCTAGAGGAATGGATATCTTCATTTAGTAAATGTAAGGGGAAAGAATGTCTCATTTCACTAATTCTTATATTGAAATATGATTTGAACACAGTGAAGTGATAAAGAACGTTCAGCTATACTATTAATGGAAGTAAATCATGGTGAAGGATCTCATTCCACATCTCTGTGTACATTTTTGTCTGACATCGTGCATTAATTATTTTAGCACCCAAATAAACATTAATGGTGTTACATCTGTTGCATTTTATGAAGATAATTCCTTCACTTGTCTCTCCTTAATAATTATACAACTTAATGATCCAATTTTATGCATAATCCCACTAATGGAGATGATAATTTTGTAAAATTTGCCTAGTATATCTTGAAAATTTTGCACCATCATCTTTTTGTACGCAACATGAAATAACTGCACATACAGAATTTATAGGTATATTTATGATGTACATATATCCAGGATGCAGAGTTTTACATTACCAGCTCCAAACAATAATTCAGAGACAACATATTTTTTTAATATGTATTTCTCAGCAGTCCAGAACTCAACATTACGTGGCACCAGTGTTTATCTGAGTTCAGAAATTCACATGGCCACCATTTTCTTAGTGGAATGCTATTTATACCGGCTTTTGTGAAAATCCACAGTTGCTTCTTGAGTTATTAAGGGTGGTTGTGGACACACTGAGAAATATATTTGTTTATTCCATAAGCCTATCTCTCCTTATAAAACAGCATGCTGTGAAGTGAAATGCCTAACATGAAAGTCAAATCAAGATGACAAGTTGCTTTCTCATTGAATAAATATTGATTAAATTTTGCTTAGAGAAATCATATTAAAATTGAACTTATATATGGTCAGTTTCTTTTCTTTGTGAAGGCTTCTGTTTATCATGTGGAAAATATTTTTTACCAAGTACAGGGTACGCTTTGTTTTGGACAGAGTATAACTTAAAGGTCTGGCACAAGTATAAGGGTTAATTCTAACACCAAAATTATAAAAAAATTGTAAAATAAAAAAAGCTTGCTATCTGAGGTACAACCATCAACATTTCTTAGAAATCAATTCCTCATATTATTATATGATCTTCCATTAGCAGTCAGAGGAAACATGTGGTTCATGCATGGTACTGCCTGTCTACATTTCAGCCATAATACTATAAAGCTTGAAAATTCTTCATTGTGTGCCCTTCCTGATGGACAGGTTGAAGGGGACTTAATGGGTGGCACTCATACTCACCTCATTTAAATCTATTCAATCTTTATATTCGGAGACACTTGAAAGCTCTGGTTTATGGACTCCAGTCTGTAATTTACAAATCTTAAGGAGTGAGCTAAAAATGGCTGCCAGGCATTGTGTAACATGCCAGGAAATTTTCATTGCATTTAGCAGTTGTAGACGTGACATCTCAGTGCTGTCTAAAGGGTCACATAAGACGTTATGAGCGCTTGTGATACAACTTATGAAACTCATAGAGAACATTTTGATCACTTTCAATGAAATTTTGACTGAGACTATGGTGAAAAAGCCACAGAATATGATGTCTCATTGACAGTTTCACAAGGAAAGGGGGCTAAAACTGTTACCGGACATATGTTCATATGAAATTTATTCATTGTCATGTCTTAGGACTTGGGTGGTGTTTGGATTGATAATTAGTTTCATTAAATGCTTATAACTCACAACTACAAATGATCTCACTAAATTACACACCATATGAATCACTATAATTACAGCATAGGCAGTCTTCTGTTTGTTATTCTGTCATCAATAGTCAGTGCTAGGTAGCAGCCGCTAAAAATGGAGACTCCTCACAGCCAGCCAGAACTGACACTGTTCACTACTAACTCATGACTAACTGCTAACCTTTGACTCTGACCTTCATCTGGCTGACGTGTCTTTCTGGTGAATTTCTGCTAGTTCTTGTCAGCAGTCTTTCTTGGTTTTTGGACCCATGACTATATTTTTGTTCTTTCCAAGACTTTTACATATTTTGAAATGGGGCTTCCTTTTTGATGAGGAGAGGCCTAACTGCTACTGGTCACTTCCTTTCCAATTCAACAAAAGAGGGGTCTGACTACAACTGGTCTCTCCTCTTTTACTGGGGTAACTCGACTATACAAAAACACATGGACACACCACTCAGAGTCATTCTTCAGAGTCAAAGTTACTTTACGACTGGCGGTTTACTGCCAATCAGTTCATCTTGGCATCAAGCCCTTGAGGCTCACAACCAGAGATTTTATATTCATATCCCATTGGACTTCGCTATATTGCCTCAGCGTGGACTACACAGAAAACACGGCTTCCAACAGTTCCTCTGTTGCTACAGAAACGTGTTTAACGCGCCGTTGCCTGGCAATGGCCGCTTCTTTTTCCAACATTCCAGCTGTCAGTCGCCATGTTGCCGCACCTCTGCGACTCTATCACATCGAGCTGCTGCTGCTTCGGTGTTGCTTGTCATATTTGGAGTTGAATGTGGTTGTGCCTAGGGGCGCCTCAATGGAATTTCTTCTTCGCCTAGTCGCAGCATGTGCCGTCTAAAATCCACGAATCATGGCGTACATGGCGTCAAGTCCCATGATGAACTCGTCTGTGATATTGGCTATGAATACCCAAAATTTTAGTGGGCACCACCCCAGAATCAGTTTTATGGAAACTTCCTTCAAAATGGGAGGGTCTCCCTGAAGCTGTCTGCAGGGCACATGACGTGGGTGGGTCTGTCTGGGCAGTACAATGGTGATGATCAGCCTGGTGATGTTCATGGACGCTTTGATGTCGATGATCACAATATATGCTTTCTCTCCTATCTATCCCTCGCCGTGCATACTGTCATGGCCTTGCTTTTCCGACACGCTGAGTGTGTAACAGAAGGTACGAAAGATGAAACATTCACCTTTTTTCTGAGTTTCTTCTGTTTGTTTTTCCGGTCTCGGTCAATGTTTTTCGAGCGGTATCCCCGTTGGCAGTTCCTCCTAAGATGGTTGACGCCCCCATACATCCAGCACGGGTAATTTCGTCCTGCTGTACTCTGTCCTTGACAAGTGTGGTCCCATGGGCGCTCTAACCATATATACACGGCTGCTGCTGCTGCATTCTGGCTGCATCAATCGTCTCTTCTCGCCGGCTGCCGCCCATTCTCCTAGCGTCAGTCGTATTCTTCATCCAATTTGTGGAAATCATCCTTTCGAAAATGGCTGGTACTCCCACAGTGCCAGTATGTAACCTGTTGGTAATCTTTTCTTTCCATTTAGCGGGACTGGCTCCTCCAGAATATCCTGGAACCTGGAGGGCATACCTGCTGCTTTGTCGGCTGCCTCCAGCTTGAGGTCCTTGCTGAATGTGTTTTTGCCTTCCAGGAGTAGCTGTCATCTAATGTTTCCCTCCCTTATCCCGTCGGCGAATGGATGGGCAGTTCTCTTACTAATTAGGAGTTTGGGTGGTTCAATGTGGACGTGATGAGCCAAGTGGTTCATGGTGGTGGAATATTCCTGCAGGAATTTCTCGATGGACTTCTTGTTCAATTATTCAGCCTTCAGCCATCATGTTAAAATAATTTTGTCTGTAGAAATAAGTTCTGTACTTGTACCAGACCATCATGTTACTCTCTGTATAATGAACAGTTTTTGAGCAATCTGATGAAACATGCCTTTTTAAATTTTGATTTATATCTTGTATGGTAAGGTTAGTTATCATACCGAATAATAGAGCAACAGGACAATGAAAGAAAACAGCAATATAAAATTCAAATTTTTATGTTAATAGTTTGATGCCAAGTTTTTTGAACTTTAGTTAGTTTAATGTGTTATCTAATGTAGAAGTGGATGAGTTTTATTATTTATTTTAATTAGTATATTATATGTATCTTAGACATGAATCTGTAATTATAGTCATATTTTACTCTAAAGAAAATATGTATGTGTGGCTGTTAAAAAATACTGTGGATCCATCCATCTTGACTAAGTGTAGGATGATACCAAATATGTCAGTGAGATATGATTAGAGACATATCTTATATATCCTTCTGAACCAGATTCCTGTGGAGTCCACTGAGTGTTGCAACCTGACAGTGACTTATGACCCCAATGTGGGGTACACTCTAAAACATGCCAGTATGTCAAATGCTGGGACATACAGATGTGAAGCCAAGTTGAGGGCTCATGAGGAATATGAGTTCTTCTATGTTCACTTCAGTAAGTAAAAATAAACCCCTTCGTAGCATTTTACTTCAGTCAGAGGAAAGTTCCTGGACTAGGTCAAAAAAGAAATTACTCAATTTGGGTTGCCAGCTTTTTCAGAATAGTTGCTAACATATTCAAGATGTTCATATAGAATTTCCATGTGTGTTTATGATCTGTCTGCATACAAAACCTATCATGAATTACTCCAAAATTAGTTCCTGCAGGCAGACTAAAAGTTATATATATATATATTAATGTAGCTGCCTTGTTTTTTACACTCTTAAATAATTGCATAATTTTAACATCCTTCAGTAAATGGTATATTAGTGTAACTTCCAATTCAGATGTTGCACAGCAACTGTGTGTGTTATTAATGTAACATGTGTACACGAAGTCACCATGAAAGTAAGATACTATATGCGCGAAAAGATGCAGTACTGAAACTCGCACATCATAAATGTGCATGTGTGCTTGTCGACGGGGTATAGCTCCATCCGCACGTTCCCAGTACTGAAAAGGAAGTTGTGTTGTGCAGTTGCTGTTGGAAATGGGTCTCTCAACGGAGGAAAAAGTATTCATAGTTGAGTATTATTTCCCCTCATATGGAAGTGGTCGCCAGACAACTCGCTTCCTTGGTTTTGAGTGGCCAGATGTTATCGTCCAGAAGCCGCTACATAGTACACATGTGACAATATGGTATGCCGTCTCAGCACACGGTATATTAGGCCCCTATTTTGTTGAAGATGAGGAAGGCAATGCTCTTACTGTCACCCAAGAATGCTACGGGGACATGGTGACTGGACTATTTCTTCAGGATTTGAGAAGGTTCTGTCATACAAGGGGCCTTCACATGAATATACAGTGGTATCAATAGGACATCTTTTCATTTCAGTACTGAAAGTTTTGGCGCATACTGTATTATTATTCATATTTTCAGTAGTAAGAATAAAGCCTTGAAAACACATTATAAGAATATAAGTTATTTGTTTTCTTTAGACAGTAAACGACTTCTGAAGCAGATTGATAATCGTCATATATATCCTAATGGAAGTGGGCATGCAGTGATACCATGTACAACAGATACCCCTGATGTCAAGGTGAAACTCTATAGGGAGATAGCGCCTGGGCTTTCTAGATTGGTGAGTGCCTCAGTAGTAATATAAATATCGTTTCAAATATTTCATTGTCAGCCACTGTCACATATTACAGTTTCTTTTTAACACAGAGACATTTCTTTAGTATAGGCCTATCTCAGATTAAAGTAAAAGTTGATGTACCAGTTTTTTTCTATAAAACAATTCATTACTTATACAATATAATATAACAGTGAACCTTGCTAGGATAATGGAAAAAATGTGTTAGTGTAGGAGGAGAAAAACTTGAAGAGAAAAACTTGAAAAAGAGTGAGAGTTTGGCGATTCTGGTACATATATTCTTTTGTAAAGAAAAAATAAAATCTGTAGTTTATATGGGCATGAAACTTGATCTCTGATATTAAGGGAAGAACACAGACTATAGCTATCTGAGAATAGGGTGTTGAAAAGAATGTTTTGATCCAAGAGGTATAAATATAGAAGGTTGGGGAAAATCATATAAGGAGCTCCATAACTTGTACTCGTAATTAGAATGATCAAGTTAAGGAGGATGAGATTGGAAATGCAAGTAGCATGCATTGGGGAGAAGTGAAGGGTCTTGATGGGAAATCCAATAGGAAAGATATTACTAGGAAGACCTAGATGTAGGTGGGAGTATATTAAGATGGACATTAGAGAAATATGATGGGGTGGTATGGACTGAATTCACTTTGCTCAGGATAGGGGCATGTGGAGGACTCTTGTGAACACTGTAATGAACCTTCGAGTTCCACAAAATGTTGGGAATGGAGTTATATAGTTAGTTGCTGTTCTTTCATAATGTGTGTACAGCTTCTTTACCCATAAAAAAAACCACATAACACTGTACATAATTAACATTAATTTCTTTATCATGAGTATGCAGTAGATCAGTTTTTTTTACATCCTGTACAAAATATATGGTGCCAATCATAAGACACGTGCACGGAACAGGGTCTCTTCCCCATACTGTGCATTTACTCTACAAAGAAGTTCTTCTGGTTTCACTTTCTCTTTCTTTAGTTATTTGACAATCTACCGCTGTTCTGCAGTAGTAGTGACAAGGTCTGACACCATCATGTACTAGCTCTAATTCACAGTAGAGGGACACATGACCACCTGCCAGATTGTGAGTGCAGTGTGGTCACCAACTATACAAGAAAGGGTTTTGTTTTTCTGGTGACCACATCTTCAAGAAAAGAAATAAAGTCCAGGTTAAACTCAAACCATCCTCATGCAAAGAAATTTAGATGAAAGCATTAGGTTGTTCTGAATGTTTGTACGCACTTACCAGGCTACATAATGCCAAACTTAGAAGTACATAATACAAATTCCACAAATCAGAGGTACACATCCAAGAAATGTATGAACCGCATCAAAATACAGTCACCTACTCCCCACTGCAACCAACTTGATAATGTAAGCTGTCAAGGTAACTCAAGTAAACATGGCTTACATTCAGTCTACACTTCACACCTATTACTTCCTCACATGTTAGCAAAGAATGTGCAGAGTTATTGTTCATAGCAAACTTATTTATGGTCACACCTTATTTTCTGAGTTTAGTGCATGTTAAATATATTATTTATTAAATTAAGACAATGGCAAGACCCTTTTTCTCTTACGCCCAACGTGACTGTGCCAGCTGTAGAATGTAACATGTTAATCTTGGTCTCCTAATTTAGGTACAACGAAGGATGATGTATGGTGGCGAGACTGTGGAGTACAACCACACTGTGGGTTATACTGTGCATTATTCTGTCAACACAGAATCCGTCCATTTCGTGTGTACAGCTGAATTGGGACAGGACCATGACTCATTAGACTTCTATTGGCGTAAGTACTGCACAATCACCGGTTTGTTTACTGGTTGCTACTTTTAACATTTTCTATCTCTGCAGTCAAAATTATGGGAACTTACATATACAGTAATTCTTTACAGACACAATGTACTACACAGCAAATTGAAGAAATGACTATTTCACTTCATAAATTTCTTTGCTAAGAACTCCATATTTATTTAGAGGGTAAAAAGTTGTGGGGACATCCTACATACTAACACAGTCTAACAGACAACACTCACTCCTAGGTCAATATCATATTGCCGCACATTTCTGCCAACACTCATATTTATACAGCATTCGATGTCCAACCCACCTGTAGATCATCACATGTGGTAACCAATCACATTGCTGCCAACGCTCATATTTATACAGCACTCGATATCCAACCCACTTGTAGATCATCACATGCGCTAGCCAATCAGCGGTCACAATAGCAACTGCAAGTTTAAGCTCCGCCCAGCAAGCATGGTATACAAAGACAGAGCCTGGAACTAGCAATAGTCAGTGATCACATTCAGTTCAGAACGAACAGTCATCAGAGTCATCAGCTCTTCACCGCGACCAGGGAACTGACGGAGTAGCCGCACGTCTCCAGTGACCACGCTCTGTGACCAGGCAACTAACACAGCTGCCACAACTCCTACAACTGCCATAGGCAGCTGTTTCTACCAGCACACGCACGGTGCAACAAATGGCCCTTTTCAGGGTCCGCAAACTTTTCAAAGCGGTTGTCTATTGGAGCATCGACAAATCCCACACTGGTGACCCCGACTGAGCATGGACGCCGCAGACAGTTCGCAAGCAGCGGTATCCAGAGTGGCCGTGCGCCCCCCGCCATTCTGGCACGAGCGACCAGCCGTGTGGTTCCCCCAGGCTGAGGCGCAATTCACCTTGGCTGGCATTAACAGTGAGCACATCAAGTTCTGCCACGTGATTTCACAGCTGGATCACCGGTACGCCACAGAGGTGGAGGATATCATCACCTCTCCACCTGAACAAGACCCCTACAGCCTACTGAGGACCGATCTTGTGAGGTGGCTATCCCCATCGCCAGAGCAGCACATCAGGCAGCTCCTCATGGTCGAGGAAATTGCCGACTGCAAGCGGTCTCAATTCCTCAGGTACTTCAAGAGTCTCGCACCAGACGTGTCTGAGAATGTCATCCGAAGCGTCTGGACCAGCCAGCTACCCTGGAACGTGCAGAGCATCCTCGCCAGCCAGAACGAGAGTAACTTGGAGGCCACAGCCCTCTGTGCGGATCTCGTCTCCGAGGTCGAAATCCAGCCGCGCTTGCTAACAGAGGTCAACTCACGAACCATCCCTGACTGTTACCCTGTCCACCATATCCACTACTACTCCCACCAGCTTTTCGGCTGTTCCATCTTTTCCAAAATTGACCTGGTGAGAGCCTACAACCAAATCCCTGTCCACCCTGAAGCCATACACAAGACTGCCATCACCACTCCATTCGACCTCTTCGAATTCCCATTCATGTCCTTTGGCCTATGCAACGCCGCCCAGATCTTCCAGCGCTTCATGGACGACATTCTACGGGGACTCAACTTCTGCTTCGCATACTTAGACGACATCCTTATCTTCTCCTGGTCACTCGAAGAGCACGAACAACACCTACATGCTCACTTGAACCAATTCCAGAGGTACAGGCTCATTAGCAACCTGTCAAAGTGTGTCTTCAGACACCCGAGGTCACCTTTCTCAGCTACAAGGTGTCCGCCGAGGGTTCCGAACGTCTGGAAGATTGAGTGGCCCATCTCCAGGACTGTCCCCTCCGAAGACCGCCAGTCAGCTCCGACGATTCCTAGGCATGCTGAATTTCTACAGGCGATTTTTGCTCCATGCAGGCACCACTGCACGACGTCCTCTCCGGACCCAAAGTCAAGGGCTCCCACCCCATCACTTGGACACAGGACACAAGGCATTCGAAGAGTGCAAGGCGAGTTTGTCACATGCCACTCTACTGGCCCACCCGGATCCATCCGCGCCACTTGCACTCGTCAGAGATGCCTCCACGTCCGCCATGGGTGCCGTGCTACAACAACGCATAAGGAACACCTGGCAGCCCCTCGCCTTCTCAAAGAAGCTCAACCCGGCCCAACAGAAGTACAGCGCCTACGACTGTGCGCTACTGGCTATATACAAGGCAGTAAGGCATTTCCACCATATCACTTTACCATCTTCACCGACCACAAGCCAATCACCTACGCCTTCCAGCAGAAGCGGGATAAATGCTCATCCCGGCAGTTCAACCATCTAGACTTCGTCTCCCAGTTCACAACCGACATCCAACACAACTCTTGATGGGACAACATTTTCGCCGATGCCCTCTCTCGCGTCGAGTTCGTCACTGCACCACCACATTACGACGTACTTGCTGCATCACAGGACGACAACGACAATCTCCGAGCAATCCTGGAGACAACCACTGCCCTGCGGCTCGAGAAACTACCAGTCCCCGGTACCGCAGTCTCCATCTACTGCGACACGTCTATCGGGACATCTCGGCCATATGTTCCAGCGCCTCTACGACTCCAAGTCTTCCAGTCCATCCATGATCTGTCCCACCCAGGCATCAGAGCAACAGCAAAGCTGGTCGCACAGTGATTCGTGTGGCCAGGCGTGCAGAAGGATTGCCACACCTGGGCACGTGCTTGCCAGTCCTGCCAGCATTCCAAAGTCTCCTGCCACACAGTCACTCCACCGGGCAACTTTACACCGCCAGCAGCCCGTTTTCTGCACGTCCATATTGACCTTGTGGGACCCCTTCCAACGTCAGCGGGCTACACATACACACATTCAGTTCAGAGCGAAGTCATCAGAGTCATCAGCTCTTCACTGTGACCAGGCAACTGGCGTAGTTGCCACAAGNTCTGCCAACACTCATATTTATACAGTATTCGATGTCCAACCCACCTGTAGATCATCACATGCGGTAACCAATCACATTGCTGCCAACGCTCATATTTATACAGCACTCGATATCCAACCCACTTGTAGATCATCACGTGCGCTAGCCAATCAGCGGTCACAATAGCAACTGCAAGTTTAAGCTCCGCCCAGCAAGCATGGTATACAAAGGCAGAGCCTGGAACTAGCAATAGTCAGTGATCACATTCAGTTCAGAACGAACAGTCATCAGAGTCATCAGCTCTTCACCGTGACCAGGGAACTGACGGAGTAGCCTCAAGTCTCCAGTGACCACGCTGTCTCTACCAGCGCACGCACAGTGCAACAAACGGCCCTTTTCAGGGCCCACAAACTTTTCAAAGTGGTTGTCTATTGGAGTATCAACAAATCCCACAAAGTCCTGCTTCTGTGTAACTCAGAGGTCCATTACTGCTTTCACAAAAGCCCACCATCAGCCCTACCCTTAGCCAGATAAATCAAGTTGATTTTTTCACTTGTGATATCTCTGAGGTCAATTTTAAAGTTATCTTTCCATCTATGCTTAGGTCTCCCTGTTTCCTTAAGGTTCCATGACCAAATTCTTTATTTTCATTAGACTGTCTTTTATCTATATATACATTAACCACTGGACTTTGAATCCCTTAGTTATTATTATGGCTTTGCATAATGAATTGTTGTGAAATATATCTGTTTCAGTAATACTAGTACATGAGGTACACATGAAGTATACAGTGTTTTTCTGTAATATTGCTTGTGAATTGAAAGGTACAGGAATGAAATCTGAATGCATTTATGTAGGTTACATGATGCAAATTTGGTGACCTATATTTCACAGATGTTTGATGGGGGCACTATGAGTGGCCTGGCAAATATCGTATCTATATTATGTAGGATTTGAGGTTATAACAGTGGCTATGGAGTGTTCTATCTTCTGCAATACGTGGTGTTACTTGAAGAAGATATAGCCCTTCACATCTGCGTTAAATTTCATTTCAGATATTGTCAAGCAAGTCGACAATAACTGTAACCACTTCAGCTCTCACCCTTCCTGCAAGTTTCAGCAAAGTGCTAACCAACCGTGGCACATAAACAGCATTTGTGATGTTCCCTTAAAAATCATGGGTGTAACACAATCCTTCTTGTTGAGATAACACTCACTCAGCTAGTAAAAATTATCCACTTTTGATAAATTCCAATGGTTAATTACAGTGTTCAGAAGAGATTCCTACTGGTCCTCTTCTGAGCATTACAGTACCAGTCAAGACCCTTAATACTATGTTTCTTTAAGAACTATTTTAATATTATCCTCATATTTACCTTTTGGTCTCCCATGTGTTCTGTTACATATATTTTGTAACTAAACTTAATATCCATTTCTCACCTTTCCACTGAGTAATACATGACCTGCCCTTTTCATCCTCCTGATGTCATTACACTAATACTATTTCATGTAGAATACAAACTTTGAACTTTTCATTATGAAGTTTCTTCCATCCTCTGTCGCTTCTTTCTTCGCAGATGTAAATGTTTTTCTCGCCACACTTATCCTGAGAAATGACATCTGTAATAGCATCTGCCAGTGACTCAGCTTAGAAGTCGGTGATCTGTTAGAAGAATACTGATTATCTGAATGAATGAATACAATACCATGAAGTGTATCTAATTTTTAATTAGTAAAAATATGTGAAGTACCAACATATTGCATCCTGAAAAAGCCATCTTCGGGAATGTATTCAACATGATTAATTGAAAACAGATTTGATAATAAAATATCGTTAATATATGGAAGTGAACGTATTTGTATTTGGTCTGAGTGTAAGTCTCTTAACAGAAAACACTGTCTTCTTTTGTCCCACCTTGTTTTAGGCGAGTTTACTTATCCGTTGCCTAGCAATAGACATTCTATAGTTGTGTACATTGGCTCCCACAGGAATGTGTTTACCGAGTTGTTGCCTTGCAATGGTTGTGTACGTCACAATAGTATCAAAAATATTCTAAGGTAAGCTTTCTATGGCACATCCTCAGGCTCAAAACTAAACTCTGTGTCATAATCTGCCTAGATCTGTGCTTCACTTTAGTACTGGAATCATCTGGCAGCTTCTGTTAACATTCTTAAATAACCTGTGGGATGTTGATGGTCTAATAGACAACCATGGAAAAAGTTTGCAGACCCTGAAAAGGGCTGTTTGTTCGGCCGTGCTTGCACTAGTAGCGTTTGCTGCTTTGTAGCAGACCAGGTCTTTATGGCCATTCAGCTGGTCTGGCTGGCCAGACATGTGGTGGTGCGCGTGCCAGTAGGAACAACTGCCTATGGTGCATTGATGACAGAGCCGTTATCTCGGCGTGGTTGCTGGAGAGCTGTTGCTGCTTTGTGATGTCAGAGTTGCTGCGTTAGCTGTCATTGTCATAGTGAGGACGATCGAAGAACTGATGATAGCGTGTTTTGAGCTCTGCCTTTTATACCATGCTTGTTGGGCAGAGCTAAAGCTGCAGTTGCGATTGTGAGCGCTGATTGGCTAGCGCACGTGATGATCTACAGGTGGGCTGGACATCGAGTGCTGTATAAATATGAGTGCTGGCCGCAATGTGACATTGACTTGGCTTGAGCAGAAGTTGAATGCTCTGTTAGACAAAGCTGCGTGTTAGTATGCAGGGGTTCCCAGACATCCTTGCCTCCTGAAGTGAAGATAAGGAATACTAGCAAAGTAAGCAGAAGTGTTACAACTGGGAAGAGAGAGAACAATAATAACTAATTCATTAGGGTATATACATGTATTTATCAGAGTCTAGGACCTTCATTGTGAATTTCAGGAACATATTCCTCATGAATGTTGGGGTATGCATTTATGTTAAATATGATACACAAATGAATAAATCTCTATGTCTTGTGGCAACTTTATAATATTATTACTTATAAACAGGAAGTCTTGCATATTTTTGTATGTAGGCAAAATTGATTTTGAAGTAGTAGATTAAACTAGTTCATTTTATTTTTCTGCCTCTTCTCTTATTTTGTTGTAATAGGCCATATTAGGGCAAGAGATTTAACAAATAAAATTGTTTGCATCAAAATATATACATTAATCCAAGAAGGAATATTTGTTTTGCATTCATCTACTTTTGGTAAAGAAGAGAGTTCTCACTGTGAAGAAACTGGTCAAGATTTAACCTCTTTGCTATCACAGCCACCTTCATGCTCTGTGTTTATGACCTGAGTACATGATCATAACCAAGATAAACTGCTTCTCAGCTGAAATTAATATAATCCAGCATTATGTATCTTGTTTACTCCTCCATATATGCTGAAAACTGTTTTTATCTGGTGAATACCAAATGAGATATTCTTTAATTCAATTTTGTCTTCAAGTAAAGCAGCAGAGCTAAAGATACACACAATCCTAGAAACTAGTCAAGACCTCGCATACTTGAAATTGGCACAGAAAACTAGAAGCCTGTATGTGAAGAGCACTGCATACAGCTGTGGAACTTTTTAACAGTTTTCAGTCTAAAGATGAAAGCTCTGAGGTAAGGAACTGGCTTAACTACTAACTGATTTGTTAAATAAGGAATTGTGTAATTCTGAAGTGTTGTAAAATGAAAACTGGAAGTACTAGGCTGAGGACTCAGATATGCTTTCTGAGGTCTGCTCAAAATCCCTTGTTTTTATACTTCCAGACATTTGTGTGCCACAAACAAATGTCTGCTTCATAGGTAAAAATTTATCCCTATGCTTAATTAAGCACCATACCTTGATAATATGTGGAAGAGGGGAGGTATTGCTCCATGAATTTGTAACCTTGGCACTAGATGGAGGTGAATGGTTAGCTTGACACTGTGGTCTGGACACTCTGAAGAAGAAAGAATCTCTTGCCTCTGGCAGGAATTAGATCCCACTTCTTCGGTCATGAATTTAAGGGAGATTTAGTCATGACAAATTTTGCACATTTTTAGCGGCGCGGCATCAGTCCAGCAAACGTTCATGGAATGGATAATATTAAACAAAACAATTAATTTACATTGTATATAATATATAGGTCACAATATAGAAGAAATTTTACAAATTTGCATGTTTCTTAGTCCTAACCTATATGTATTTGTCCACTGATGCTGCAGAACTAAGCATTTTTTTTATCTTCTTGTGCAAATTTAAAAAACTCTTTACAACTATAGTCATAATTAATTGCTACCATTAGCTCTGACTTAATTAATTCCCTGCGCCTTTTCTTCTTCGGTTCTCCGACCGGCATTACTTCGGCGGGGTACCTCTAGTAGTTCTGCCGCCTCAGGTTTCCTGTTCGCTGAAGTCGGCTCTTCTTCTTCTTCTGGACGTGCCTCCATTCCTTGGCAGGCCGTCGTCACTCCGACCGGTATCACTATCGGGACCTCTTCTCGTTGTGCCGCTGCAGGTTTCGCGTCCACTGGGCAGGCCACCGTCTCTTTTTGGGTAATCGGCATCAATCCATATGCAGGTTCACTGACCGGTATCACTGCGACGTCGTCTACAGGGACCTCTTCTTGTTGTTCCGCCTCAGGTTTCTTGTCCACTGGGGCCGGCTTTTCT